AGATGATCGAGGGACCAATCCCATAATCGATCTCTGCAAAATGACTCGGTCATATATTAGTATCCGGATGTCTGACCAGTCATGAAAGTCCATCCAAGACACATGGGTGTACTTGGAATGTAATTGGCCACTGACTGGAGGCTTAATCATACGTCAGTATAATACGTAGTATTACGCTAGCAATTCCAGCCAAGATTACTCAAAAGATAATGCGAATCGAGGTATTTTACAGTTAATGGAAATATGATGCACGTCATCAAAAACTCCAACTGCCCAAATCGAAGAGTGGAGGTTTTATTATTTAACGTACAATTAATGTAGTTAAACCCTCAACCAAAATACGTTAAATACCGATTTCATGCGTTTTATCCCTGCAGTGGGAGGTTAAAGGTCCACTAGGTTAAATATCTATTTCTGGACCAATTCATCTCCAAATTTGAATCTGAGACGTAGCATTTCTTCACCATATTGAGATCTGTCGATTCTACGTCTCAATTTGCTGAAATTTTGAGTAATGAATACGAAAAAGAAGTCAGAAAATTTTGTGAAAAGTTGGTACGTAGTTTATAGGTGACGTGCATCATAGTACTGTACTCGTACTATTAAAATACTGTACCAGTACTATTTATACCGGTATTTCCATCGAGATTCTGTGAAAACACATACTATTAACTGTAAAATGGTGGTATATGTTTTCACAGATTCTCAAATACAGTCAAAATAAACGTATCAGGTTAACTGTCCACATGACGGTGCTGTAGGCGGCGCAGTGGCGTCACGTCCTTCCACCTGATGAAATGGGCAATGCAACCTTCTCTACCTGAGGTCCACATGACATACTAGTTACCTATGGCATCAACCATTGTTTGATACATAGTACTACAGTCCTGATGTAAACTATAGGCGCACGTGAATTTTTGGCATTTCTCAAAAATTATTTCGATTTGATGCTCACGGTTTTGATATGATACTTTATTTAAGTTTCGAAATAGATTAGACCACTAGACCAATGACCGAGCACTTCAAGAACTATACTCCACTTTCACGATCCACTGTACTAAAATCCGAATACATTCGTCACACAGGGGAGATTGACTGATTTCGGAAGTCAACGAGTAAACAACGAATGTAAACGCCGATTTCGATGGTACAGTGTATTTTTGGAA